TTCTGGACAATTGGTTAATGAAACCACCAAATATCGGCGCGCTAAGCATCAGCAATTAACAGATCTATTAAAACCTTTTGGTGAGGTTCAATTACACTGCACGGTTTTATTTCAGTTTCCGTAAGCCGAGTAAAATGGAAATAAGTCGCGTGTGGAAAATGAACTATTCTTTTTCTTCATAGGAATGGGATGGTGGTGAAAGAGGCCGCTATCACTCACTCAATGCGATCCAGGTTGCTCAGGCCAAGCGTTCCATCCTATCAAAATCGCCTAAATGGTGCCAACCCCTCACCCTACTGAGCGACTGAAGTAGGGGAGCTTCACGGGCTATTTTGAACTTACACTCAGTCACACATTTAATGCAAAATAACTAGTCAGTTTGAAAATTGAGAATGCGATAAAGAACATTGAGATGCTTACTCTCCAATACTATCTGTGACGAAGTCGCAACCAGTACTGCAAGCATTACAAAAGCATAGATGATCGACATCAGCTGAAATATTGGTAAAATCTACATAGGTGAACGAATTCGTAAGAGTAGCTTCAGAATAAACAGACATCCAGTAACAAAATTTCTAAAACTGCGTACTAAACTAAGACGTATTTCTAAGCTTACTTTCGCGTATAGTAGCTGCACATTAGACTCGGTAGTGAAACATATTACAATGAACAGACTGATTGGAATGCCATTGTATAGCATCACCTTTGCTGAATCAACACCAAACGCAGCCACCTGAACTGTGTTATTTCCTTATTCAATTAAAATAAAGTGCTTCAAAGTTGTGAGCTCATGGATGAATCGCCAGGGTGAAATCCGCAATAGATAACAAAGCAACAGAGATCAGGAAAACAATAATGATCTCTTCCGCGAAAAACCGTAGAGATGTGTACACACAAACGAAATGTTGTGGCCGACCGTGAAAACGCCTGGTTTGGGCTCTTGTCGGGCCTCCATAGCTCAGTGGCAGAGCGTCTGTCTTGTAAACAGAAGGTCTGTGGTTCGATCCCGCATGGAGGCATCCGTTTTTGTTCAACTGACTGAGCATTTATCGGAACCACTGTGTCCACTTACCATACTGCTCTGGCAATACGCCAGCGCATTGAAAAAGTGATTAGTGCAGCTAAAACCGTGCTGGAAAGACAACCTATATTAATTTGCTCAGCTCTGACGCAACGGTTTGGACACCTATATGTGCACTCCAACAAGCATGCCTCCGTTGTGGTCGTATCAAGGGAATTCCGATGTGGATAAGAACAGGCCGAAAAAATCCACGCCTCCATAGCTCAGTGGCAGAGCGTCTGTCTTGTAAACAGAAGGTCTGTGGTTCGATCCCGCATGGAGGCATCCGTTTTTGTTTAAGTGAGTACATATAGGAGCCACTGTGCCCACTTATCATACTGCTCTGGCAACACGGCAGCGCATCGAAAAGCTGATTAGCGCAGCTGCAACGGTAATGGAAAAATCTAATTATTATTTGCGTAGCTCTGCTGCACCGGCTGATCACTTACAAGATGAACTCCAAGACAAGAACAAGAGTATATCTCCGTTGTGGTGGCACCAAGCGACAGTTCCGCTGCCGATGTGTGCGGTCGACACTTGCATGATATCCTCTGACATCAATGCAATAAGCTTCTATTCCCATTTAGCGACAGATCAGCTGCTGATGTAAGCAGCGCATGCAGCCAATTTCCACGCCTCCATAGCTCAGTGGCAGAGCGTCTGTCTCGTAAACAGAAGGTCTGCGGTTCAATCCCGCATGGAGGCATCCGTTTTTGTTCAACTGAACAGATATCGGAACCATTTCTGTGACTGTGAATACGTTCTACGCTAGCCAAACAGTTCAGGAACACGATGAATTGTACTGCGGTTACGCTGAACTATTATCATCAGCTATACCTCAGTTTTGGAGACTGGCACGGCGCCCAGGCATCAGCGCTGGAAATCTCTCTTGTGATCGCATTAAGCGATAGCCCAGCTGCCGATGTGGAAGGTTCATCTCGACAATTCTTACGCCTCCATAGCTAACTGGCAGAGCGTCTGTTTTGTAAACACAAGGTGGTTCGATCCCGTATGGAGGCACCCGTTCGTCAATTAGGCAGACATCCATCTTATGGGACCCAATGCTGCCTTGGACACAGTGAGACCACAGCTAGAAATAGCTGGCTATTTACGGCCAAACCTCACCCATTTTATCGTACTTTCGAATAATGTTTTCCCTCAAATATATAATATTTTTGGGAGACAATCCTACAGAAAGCCAACCCAAGTATTTGTTGAGCGCATGTGTAGAGAAATCACAGCCTCACTGTAGTACAGGAAGTGGGAAAATAAATTATTACCATAGCGAGTTTTATTTCCTGGAGACTCACTAAGAATAGACCTGCATAAAACAATTTCTAGAACGGAAAAAGACACTACAAGCTCTGCTTTTTGCGACTTAGAGCAGAACTAAGGTTTCGAAACAATCAGTCACCCTAATGACTTTGGAACATTGATTTATGACCTATTTTGACAACCAAACCAATGGCTGACAGTCCTTATTAGAATCTCACATGCGGCAGCCGACTGCAGCGATTTTGTCAAACACGCTCTCGACGAACCCGCATGTGCCTCCATAGCTCAGTGGCAGAGCGTCTGTCTTGTAAACAGAAGGTCTGTGGTTCGATCCCGCATGGAGGCATCCGTTTTGCACACTTACCTAGCAGTAGGACCTGAGACCCCTATTGCACTGGACCATCGATTCCACAAATCGTAACACGCAGATCTGAGTTAGTGAATTTTCCCTTCCGCAGCAAGCTAGTGCAGTTTAAACGTAACGTCGAGTTCCTTGATATTCTAACTCTTTTCAAACTCAATTTTTTGAAACATAACAACTGCATATAAAGCTAGTGTAACGTTTTCAGTAGATAGTTGCATGTTGCTGTCAAGAAAGGCTGCGTCAAAATAGCCAGCGCACTTTTGAGAAGTGCTTAATGAGATTCGTTTTGAAGAGTAGCTACAGAAGTGTGCTACCGAAAACCAACTACAGTCCATATCCCGGCCTTAGGGTAGGCGTGTAAGCGGAAGTGACGTGGCTGTTGCCGCACTTGATAGAAGTTGCGTGGATGAGTTGTTGCCAGCATTCTTCGCTGGAATTCAGCAGTGTGTGTTGGAAGCAGCTTATCAACGCAACTTCTATCAAGTGCGGCAGCAGCCACGTCACTTCCGCTTACACGCCTACCCTGAGGCTGGGATATAGCCTGTATAGACGGGTCTCCATGAAATCAGTACAGTTTTCTAAGGTGATCCTCGAGGTTTCAAATCATAATCTTCTAAAATGATTATCGTCAAATGATCAAAGGATGACCGTAGCAGGCAGGATAACCATGTGAAACAAGCAATATGCATGAAAAAAATAGCAACTCCGACAGCCCAGTCATACCCGAACGATGTCTAGGATGGATGATTTGCAATACATTATCGAGGCAGAGAAAAGAAAGGTGAGGCGACTGGCCTCATACTTTCCCTTATTTCAAAATCATAGAGTGAACAGAAATCTTCCGTGTTTTTACCACAAAAATGAAATTTTCTGAAACAAAATTATTTCTGCTTTCGCTCACCTGCGCAAATACGAGCATGGTAAAAATAATTGCAGGCCCAAGCATTGAGAAGAAAATTACCATAAACTGATAGGAAATATAAGACATCGATATCGAATCATTGTTCTCTGAGGCCCTCTGAAAGCAAACGCATATGACAAAAAAAATTCTAGAGACAGCCAACACTAAGGTTGCCAAATTATGCACGATTTCTACATATTTGCAAATGATTTCTATCGATGAGACTTATGCCCACATACTTTCCACAATTGACACTTATCGCTAGCTTTTTTTTGCTATGCCATAGTTTAGGAATCAAGCTAATAAATATACAATTAAAAGAGACAAATGGACTTGGAAAAAAAAGCAACATCATAGTGGTGCGAAAGGAAAATATGGCCTGTCGTCGTACGCCTCTATTGTTTACAACCTTCCCAGAACCAATAATATCCCTTCTGAAGCTTTCATCTAGAATAAAGTGA